AACTGTCACAGCAAATATTTTTCGACATCCCATCCGAAATGTGCCGGAATCAGTCAGTCGTAGCTTAAGAGCTTCATCCCACACACACACACATACTCACAGGCATTCACACACACACACACACACATGAAGAAGGCTGGGCGGCGGAAAAAGGATTCGGGGCAGGACTCGAACCAAATGAAGGCAAAGGACCGCACTAAAGCTATTTTAACAAGGAAAGGGACTGGAAACAACAGCGGCGGACTTCGAGAGCCAAAGAAAAGGGGAAAAACTCCATTTACGCTTGCTTAGTTCCTTTTAGTATAAAGTTTAAGCTTAATCCAGCATAAAATCAACTGGTAAATTTTTTATGTTTCCCTGCCCGCCGATTCGCCCATCAAAAAGATTAAAGAGTTAAATGTTATACCCGGTTGCCAGTGGCAGGGAATCGAGCCTAAAACTATAGACCGGCTCTACGGACATCGAATATGATTATAGGGGTTCATTCATGCAATCTCTTCGCCATTCGGTCGGTCTCTCCATTTCTGTGTGTTGTTTTTTTTTTATCTCTCTATGCAACATAAGCCTGTTATGATGGAAAGGACATGTGATCTAATCAATTGGCTTACAATAAATTTGTCGATTGGCAGAGGCTTCGGTGTACAGAACACAGTGCTGAGCACTGCTAGAAATCAGAAAATGTTGTTATTGATCGGGAAATATGAGTAACACATTTGAAATGCTGTAAAGTGGAAATTTGATTTTGCAAGACAAATCTAAAACAACAGTTTTGCAAAATAAATCAGAATAGCTTTCTAATAAAAGCTGGGTGTTTATGATAAAAATATTATTATCTCTTGAATACAAGTTGTCTTGTAAGTAAAAGTAAAAAAGTTCTATTGTATACAATAAACTATAAGTTATAAGTACGATTATTAGCCTTACTTTTTTATGACTGTTTTGTGCCTAAGGCTACCAAAATAAATTTGTTTTATTTAAAAAAAATTATTTAGGATTAGTAGAGCTGCTCAAATGTTCTCACATCTGACAACTGGTAAATCAAGAATAACTATTCGAATATTTAATATTCAACTGTAGAATTTATTTCAAAATAATTTAATTATACATCAATGCAATTTGGAAGGACAGCACAGTTATATTTTCAACAACTAAATTATGGCATTATCCACTCAAATTAACTCTATAAAATGAATTATCCTTATTTTTCTGTCAGTGTCAGCTGGTGGGCATGTGCATTTGGACCTGTCCACTCCCGGGTCCGGGCTCGCTTTAGATTCGGGCTCTGATTCCAATTCTGTCTCTGATTCTGGTTCAGGTGCGGTGCGTGCAGCTGATGGCGGAAGCACGTCTGCCGGCCATTTTGTTTGGAATGTGAAATCAAACCGGAAATGTTAAAATATGCAGCGTGCCTCTGACTCTCCACCTGGCCACGCCCCCTGCATCCGCCCAGCTCCGCCTTCAGCCTTCCGCCTCATTTGCATCGTCCTTGCTGGAAGTTGATGTTGGCTGGTGTCGACAGGCGGACCTAGGGCCCCATCAAATGTCATCTGTAATATGTCAGAGAAGGTTAGCTTTTCCTTGACTTTAAATAAAACACAAAATTCAAGGGGGATTCTGGGAAGCTACTTGTTCTAAGCTTCCGGTCACTGTGTGTCTTTGTTATCCTGCCTTAAAGATTAGCAGTGAATCCATTCAAGACAAAAACAATCGGCTCACTCGAATGGTAAATGCTAACACCGAAATGAAATTATGAACCATGCTCGTCAACACAAAACATTTCAACCAACAAATTGAAACTCGGTCCTGCATTCGCACACCTTTGAATTGAAAACAGTTTTCGTGCGGAAAATCAATTGAGCAAAAGTGAACAAGTGAACGAACTTAAATGTAAGGTAAAACACCCATTGTTTCGACGACCTGTCAAAGTTTTTGGACACCAATTAAATTTAAAGTGTGTCAGTTAACTTTCTGTGTAACCAACAATTCAATAATACTTTTGAGTGCAGCATAACATATTTTCTTTGCCTTAAATGGGACACCACATTTTTCGGTAAAGTAATTCGAAACCCTTTTCAATTTTGCGATAAATGTGTATAGATCTTTAAATTGTGTTATGAAACCATTCCTTAAGAAAGTCAACAGTAAGTTCTTCAAAAATGTTAGCAAATTTCTTCCTTAAGATCCCAAAGTATTTTTAATCGTTTCCTTCAATTTGTCCCATAATTACTTTTTTTTTTTGCAGACCTTAACTGCAGTTAGGAAAAAAATATTTTTTATAGGCTCTCACTTCGAATTCATTCTTCAATTTCCATCTATTTTCCTTTTATGCCCGCATTGCTTTAAAAAACTTATCAACATCCATCTTTCCTTGTCCATGCTTCCCGTCTGACATATTTCTGTTCGACGCACAGGTAAATATAATTTCTTTTGAGAAGTGAACACTTTCAACTTTCTCCCGGGGCCATTGATCCGTGCTGCATCAAAAGTTGCACCTGACTTCGATGTAGTTCTCCCTCGCCTGCACTTTTTTCCTTTGCTATTATAAACTGATTTATTGGTTCATTTCCAGGCAGCAGAATGAAGGACTAAGTGCACCCAGGTTGGAAAAAGTTAAGCGGGGAAAGGAGTGAAACGGAGTAGATAGGGTAAATTAGATTTGGCACTGCCTTGATGATGATGCATGCGACAAGTGAGTTTATTTTCCACGGCAGTTGGGGTTATAAGCTATGTGGAATACATTTACTATATATGTATGTATGGAAGTGGGTGGCAGATCCAGCTGGCTGGTGCAGCAAGCCGGAACAATAAGAGCAACAGACGGCGGACGTAACTTTAAGCCGATATCAAATCTTTCAATAATTAATATGGCCCACAGCCTCCCACTCAGAGAAAGGTGCAGAGCGGCGTCGAACTGGCTGGGCAAACAAACGCCGGCTCATAAATAAACACACAGAGCGTTTCAGTTGGTAAAGTTTTCCATGCCGCGCACACACACACTGCCAAAAATCAACACCCTATGCAAATTCACAAATTCACACCTCTCAAAAATCAAAAGCAAACGAGTTCTGTGATATTTTCGCAAGACACAACATCACCACATTCACAGACTTCTGCACGACTTGTGTTTTTCTTCTTGCAACATTGATTGAAAAATTTAAACAAAAATGGTTTTAATAAATAGACAAATAAGAGAGATATTCGAGATGAATGTTTGCATTTTTGACCACTAAAAATATGGTTTTCTGCAGCTTAACTTGTTGAGTACTTTCTTTCTTAGCCATTTGATAAATAAATTGCTTACACTTATTTGTTGTACAACTAAAGCAAGGCTTAACAGTAATTGAAATTGTACTATCTGCATTATTTATATTAAAAACTTCTAAAGACTTATAAATACTTTTAAAATTGTCATTTGAAATATAAGCACACATGAACTTCCTTTAACAACGCTTTAAAATTTTATTTACTGAAGAAATTTTTTAAGTTTATTGAAAGCCATTTTGTTATTTATTAATCGGTAAAAAGTTAAACAAACTTAATAAAAGTTTTTAGGAGTAAATTTAACCCAAAAATCCTGTTAATGAGCTTTTAAAACCTCTTTTTTGCTTACAAAAAGTTAAATAAATGTTGAGTAATGTGAATTTGTGAAATATATTTATGTTAGGCGTTAATGAAAGATACAATTATAATAGTTTTCTCTTTTTTTCCTTTATTCAATATAATTATAGTATTATTTAAATCATGTTTAAGAACGTTTTCTTATTTAATATTTACAAGTTTTTCTCCAAGTGCAGAACTGGCACACAACAGCACGTGTTCATTTCCGGCTACAGCATTTACCGTGCATATCCTGCCTTGTATCCTTGGCCGGCGCTCCTTCTGTTCTGCTCGGTCTGGTCTGTTGTGTTGTATCCTGTCGCTGTTGCTCTTGCTGTTCCTGCTGCTGTTGCTGTTGCTCCTCCAGCGGTGGCTGCCTAAGCCGAGCTCCATCGTCGATACAGAAAGCTTTCAGATTTAATTTTAATTAGGTGCTATTGAATTTATAAATTTTTCAGCTGCTGTCGCCGTCCTGCGTTCTGCGTTCTTTGTCCTTCGTCCTTCGTGCCACGCCGGTTGTGGCCTCCCACCGCACAAGGCGAACTTTGGCAGCCATTGGCAAAAGTTTCCAGAGAGAAGGGGAATCCCCACTGGAGGCACCCTTCCTGTTGTTGCCTGTTGCCTGACACTAATAACAATAATCGCAAATTGTATTTTCATGAATTTTCAACTCGTAATTACTAATATTTCAATATACACAGAAATACATAATCTATATACACGGGCACCCCATCACGCGCCCAAATAGAAGCCAAAACTGGCGCATAATTAAAATTTCTTGTCCACGCCTACTCTTAAATGGGCGATTTGGATGGCTTTTCCGAGGAAATAGGGTCGAGGGACGGGTTTGGGGATTTACCTTTTACAATGAATAACAATGAACAATGTACATTAATTTTCCGTATTAATTGTTTATTTGCGCAGGCTGCATATTAAAATTTTTGCTAATCAATAATAAACCCCATTTGAAACAGATTATTTTGCGTTGGGCTTTCGTTTCAAGTGGTTAAGGGGAAAGTCATTTGGGATAGGTAGGCGTAATTGAGTTTTAAATGGTTCTTTAAGCTTTCTGTTTATGTTTACTAAGAAGAGGTTTAAAGACCTAAAGATAATAGAAATAAATGAAGGTGCAAACAATATTCAGTGCGAAATCGTTACATTATTAACTTATAAAAAATTACTATATCGATAACTTTAAAAGTACCTCCAAAAAAATAAATGAATTAGCTCTCAAGAGTTTTACCAAACGCTGAAAAAAATGAACCAATAAAAATTCACTATAATGCATTATTATCATAGTCAAAATTAGTCAACATTTTAAGTTAACATTCAATAAAATAATCTTTTTATTCAAAACCTGTTACAAATAAAATGTATACTTATTTTGAACTCAACAAAATCTAGTGTGCTCTGACTATTTAGTTATTTAAACGTAAATATTCAATTAAACCAGAAGGGAAAATTTATGGTAATTGAAGTGCAATATGCACGGACACTTTTTGATCGTAGGGTTGATCCAGACCCTTTTCGTGATTGTCAGTAGCCTGGACCAAGATACCATTGCGAAGCTCAAAAAGTTTGTAAGCTGCGAGGATAGGGATTACCTTCCCAAAAATGGGATCTATAAAGATTACTGGGTACTAGAAAACTATATAATGGCGGAGCATGGTCCACTTTCCTGCTTTTCAAATGTTACCTATACCAGTCATTCGGATTATACGTATCTGGATAACGTAGTTCCCCTTCTGGAACGCTGGCGATCTCCTCTTAGCTTGGCTATTTATGCTCCCGGATCGGATTTCGAACCCACTGTAAACAGTATTTTGTATCTGCTGCAATGCCATCCTGGCAGGAACTTGGTTCGCGAACTCACCAGCTTTCATCTATACTTCGATGTGGAGCATCTGCCACATGTGGTTCTCTCTCCGGAAAAAGCTATAAAAATAAAAGCCATCTGCAAAGCTCCTCCGCCTTATGAGAATGTGGCTAAAAAGGATCTGTACAGATCTCAGAGGAAGCTCGATTATCCCGTGAATATGGGTCGCAATATTGCGCGGAGGGCTTCGTTAACTCATTTCGTTCTGGCCTCCGATATCGAATTATATCCCTCGCCAGGATTGGTTCCAGCTTTTATGCACTTTTTGGGCCATCAGGTAAGTTGTATATTATGTTTGTTAAGTTTTTTATTATTTAACATAGTATTGACAAAGCCAAACGTGTTTTTATACTTTAAAAGAGTTAACTTATTGAATTATATGTGAAAATGTATATTGTTTTGCGGACAAAATTGGTTTGATTTGAAGACGTTTATTCAGCTAGAATAAATAAAAAAAAATATGAATTTTAATTTGTTAACAAATTATTAAATTTTCTATTGTAGAAGTATTTTAAATTTTGTAGAATTCCTATATAAAAAATTAATGGAAATAAATTGATAACATCGTTGTTTTTTATCCCATGAGCATGGTATGTATGTATGATTTTTGAAATATAGAGTTTTCTTACGACTCTTGAATTACGCATTAAATTTTATCAAAATCGGACAACTATATCATATAGCTCCCATATGATCTATAGTCGAAAATATGGAAAATGAATAGAAAAATCGTCTTAGCTTCGATGTTGTCTAGCTTTTATGCGTTTTGTTCGACATATTTGATGACTGCAAGGGTATATAAGCTTCGGCTTGCCGAAGCTAGCTTCCTTTCTTGTTTTTTTTGATATGGTAACATATGTTTGCAGGTGTTTGGGAGACCAGGACAGCAACCGACGTCTCCAGTGGTCCATGTGCTGCGTATTTTCGAGGTGAAGGCCAATGTTTCAGTTCCGAACACCAAACCGGAGTTGCAAAAGTTGATAAAATCGAAGGAAGCGGTTCCCTTCCACATGAAAATCTGCTCACTCTGTCATCAGGGACCAAAATTGGGAGAGTGGATAAACGCCACCGTTCAATCGGATCACCTGGGAGTGTTCAATGTGGGTCACCGTTCCGAACTGGACAATATGTGGGAACCGATCTTCATTGGCACCGTCGAGGATCCACCGTACGACGAACGATTAAGTTGGGAAGGTCAGAGGGATAAAATGACGCAGGCTTATGCCATGTGCGTCCTGGACTATGAATTCCACATCCTGGACAACGCCTTCTTGGTCCACAAGCCCGGCATCAAGCAACCAGCTAAAACTGAATCACTGTTCTCCCAAAAACGTCACACCAATGGAATAATTAATAAAAAAATTATTAGGGAACTGCGCTTCAAGTACGGTTACCGAAAAGGATGTGTCATCTAAAAAGCGGATTGTTGTTTTAAATTGTAAATTGTCAAATAAGTATGTGAAAAAACGGAAACGTAAAACTCTGTTTGATGGTAAGCTAAAAACATTTGTTTTCAGACATTTCAGTCATACCATTCTGTTGTAAAAAATTTTATGTGTTGAAATTATTGTAAAACGGTCGAGTAGTTTCATACATATGTTCATATGTTGGTGGAAATAAAAAATTTACATTTAAAACCAAATAACTAAATAAAATCGTAAGCCTTTATAGTTCTATTTACATATTTCGTTTATAATGCACTTAAAATTCGTCGCAGCTCAGGGCGAAAGCATTTTCCGCTTCCATCAATGTTTGCTTAACTTTTTCTGTTGCGCAGTTAACAAAAAATCAACAGCAAACCCAACAGCATCAATAGTATAAAATATGAACTGCAAACCTAAATAAATATTTATTATTTGCTGCATTCTACTGGTTTTGTGAGTTTGTGTGTGTGTGTATTTTGTGTGTCAGGGCGATGGAAAAGGGGAAATTTTTAGCTTAATTGAATATCAATTCATTTTAAAATGCGCGCAATAAAATGGGGAGTGGCGTAGTTAAAAGAAATCGAATAGTAGATGATTTTTAGGGGCTGATTGGAGCGGCGGGCAAGGGGTTATGGAATATTTATAGCGCGAATTATTAGCATACAAAATGCAATTGATGCCCTCCAGTGATTAATTAAAATGTTTCCGAGCGCATATAAATTCATATTGTTTATTGCGGTTCACGCACAGACACAATGCACTTGTGTTAGTGAATGAAGAGTGCGAGGTCATGCGCCATTTTTGTGGTTCACTGCACTCTGCGGATGGCCAAGTGCCTATAAGCCCGGCTAGTACACCTCGTACCCTCGTCACCTGCCTCTCTACCTGTGGTTTCATAATTTCGATTCAAGGACCGAAACTGAAATTGTAAACTAACTAAGAATGCGCATGCTAAGCAAACTAAATTATTAATTCATTTGTTTATGTTCAACGTCCAATGACATAGTTTTGCGGCTAATATTTATCACTTGTTTGGCAACTTGCGGCAGTATTCGAACTATTCAATATGTAAGACGAAAAACGAAATGAACTATCTGTAAGTGATGACAAGAACTCAGGCTATGCAAATTCCTCATAAGAAACATTGAAATTTAAAAATCAAATTCGCTTTGATAGAAAAATTAATATGTAGTATTCATTTTGATATGAACTTTAAATGAAACATTAAAAGCCCTCTAGAAAAATATTTACCTTTTTTCAAAAAAGGTGTATTCAAGAATAGGTCTATCATTTTCTTAAAGTAAAAAATGATTCGTAAATTAAAAAAAATATAATAAATGTTCATGTGTTAAATAAAGGATATGCCTTAAGCAAACTTGTTACCTTATCTATGCAAAGTTCAATACATTTTAATGTCATTGCCATATTGGGAACATAAATAAAAAACTCCCAGTATTGAGTCACTAAAAATAAACTTTGAAACTTCTTCGGATAACGACCACAACCTGCCCGATAATCCGTTTTTGTTTGGGCTCTTGTATACCCATCACATATCCGAAAGTGCATAAAACCAGGCCTGCGGCTCGTTCGGAACCCTATAAAGTTGAAAATATCCACTAGTATCCGCTGGCAAAACATAAATATGCACAAACCATAAAAAGCTGACCAGGACTCAGTGTCCTTCCCATTTCCGTCACAATGACATGGCAACTTGGCGAAACAAAGTGAGACGAAAGTTTCCCAAAAAGACAAATGACCCTTAAAGTAGAAACTAACAGTGACTAAATGGAGACAAGAGCAAAAAATTTGTGTGTGTGCCCAGGATGGAGCTCTTCCAAGGAAAAGAGTTGTGGGTGGGGAATTTGGGGGGAGAGGCGCTACCAGGATTGGATTGGATGGATGAAGGAGTACGGAAAACGAAAGCAGCTGAAGCAGCATGAAAATCTTTTAATTGCTGCCACCAGTAGCCAAGCAAGCAAAAGCTTTCCATTTGTCTTCCAGCCAACTGCTGACGTTGTTGGATCTTCCCCACTAAAAGGGGGAAAGAGACGGCCGCTCCGATTAAGTTCAGTGGGTGGGAAAGGGATGGGAACATAAGAGGGGGTGAGGGGGCACAAAGCCTGGGGCCGCGTGAAATTGCAAAATTGTTTCACCTGAATGCATGAGGCTCCAGTCCAGCTGCCCATTCTCAGAACACATCTGAGACTTCTGTTCGATAAGACAATGACAAATACGTAAACAGGACAAACAGATGACATTCAAAAATGGTCGACCGATTGTTTACCTTTGAAGTCAAAAAAGTCAAGTTTTTGAAAACCCACTTGTGATCGTAAATTAAAAAAAAAAAAAAGATTTTTTTTAATCAGGGCCAAAAAGTAAAGAGGATCCTTAAGCTATCAATTACGTAGTTAATTTATAAAAAAAAAAAACAAAATAACAAAAAACATATTTTATTAACAAGATAAAACTATATAATTGGATTGCATTTTACCTAATGAGGTATTTATTAATATATTACAAAATTTAGTTTAAATTTGTTCATATATTTTTTTACATATACCTATATATTGATATATATTTCATTGTATTTTTTTAAAATTTCTATATGTGTTTCCTATTGTATTCACCAGTCAAACCTTAGTTTTCTTTTACATTCTGACACGATTATATATTCCCATTAAAAACCATATAAAATATTGGCTATAAAATAAAAGCCACTTCACTCTGGTTTTAAAAGATTAACTTTTATGATTTTCTTTTCGCATCAGATAATCGACACTGTTTTTGGCATATGATTTTTTTAGCATAAGCCCTAATTGAAACATCCGGAAAGGCTTTGCAACGCTCTTTTGCCTCCAGCTTAATCCAAAAAAACACGCTCGAAAAATATGCAAACAAGCTTAAATGTCCCAAATCACCTTATCGTTTAGGCTCAAACACTCCACAGTTCAAGGAAAACTCGAAAAGGCTACTCGACCCAAGATGCCCCATTGACAGCCTTTAGCATTGGCCACAATGAAGGGCAGAAACAGAGCACCATTCAATAAGTCCTTTGGCCCCGGCCAGGAACACCCAATTTCCCAGCTACCTCTATTGTTATAGAGTATGAAAAACTAGGAAAAACCGACGGGCGAAACAAACAGAAGGAGGGAAATACAAAAATAGCAAGGGAAAACTAAAAAAGCGAACAACAGCGGAGGAGAAACTCCAAACAATAGGCAGCCGTCAAAGTGAGCGATTGTTGGAACGTGTCGGGGCATCAATAGAAGGTCCAAGTGGACACCGAACCGGAGGCTAATTCCCCCAGCGCTTGACAACTCACTCAGTGGGGCAAGTTTGTTGGCCCCGTAAAGTAATAATTTCTAAAAAACAGGAATAGTTTGTTTTACGCACTGGAGAAGAGAAACAAAAATTATTCGAGTGAAATCCTTGATTTTATCATTGGACAATGGAAAAGGGATTTTTTAAGTCTAAACCTTGCAGATATTAATTAATTAAATAAAATTTAAAAAGGAAATTTAATTTTTAAAACTAAGTTGTATTACAAGTTAAATTTTTCTTTAAAAGTTAAAATAATCTTAAACATTTTAGTTTAAGATTGGCGCAATTGGCGCAGACGTGTCAAAAATTGCCCTGAAGACGGTTGCCGAGGAGCAGCCGAAATATATTGGTTAAAAACAAAAATTGTGTTTTTAATATCAACCCAGACCTTGAGCCGGCAAAACACCAAATATTCAATTGGAAAGGTCGCTAACACTCACAAATTTTAGTTTCATTTAAAATAATTTTAATCATTTGGCAATATAAAATTGATTGTTTTCCTTATAAAGTCTAAGCAAGTGTTTTTGAGTTTTTACAGCCAACATATGTATATCAATCTTCTATCATATCTGAAAGTTTGTTAAGCCATCAAAACTCACTTAAATGGCATTAAGATATTATTAAGCCCGAATAGTTCAATAATATTGTCTATAATCTCTGAAAAATGTTAATTTAACCTGATCCCTAATGTTAACTATCATTAGAGAATTAAGGAAGATTTGTTTGATGAAAAATTTTATGGTATCACTTTTTGAAGTCTAAGCTGTAAAATAAAATTGTTATTTCAACCATAAGGCATCCATTATCCTAAAAAATCACAATGCAGCTCGCAGTTGTGAAATCCAAAACATTTCGCCTGTAACAAGGAAGTCCAGTTAGCTTGTTGGACAAACTGCGAGACTTTCCGCAAACCAAAACCATTGCGGCATCAATTTTCCCTCTGAATAAAAGATGGCCAAGATGCGTTGGCACACAGATTCTTTTGTGCCATAGAAATTGCTGTTTGAGAACGGACAGAAACTTTCTTTCTTAAGATGTTGCCAGTTCTTTAACCCGCTGAAAAGCGGAGCCTGAGCAAACATCTGCCATTGAGTGAATATCTTTTCCATACAAATGCCATATGGATGGGCTGAGCGTCTTAAGAAAATTGTAATTTTGATGTCAAACAACGATTAAAAGCAACGAGATTACCTGATGCATATTGCATGAATGCATTTATTGTGTTTGCCCAGCGTCTCAGCTCCTTCGTCCTGATGATGGCGGTATATCCTGTGAACCAAGTCAGGAAAGGTTGAAGGGGATGGGGAAAAGGGGAACAAAAGCAGACATCGTTGAGCTCATTTGCACTTTGACGCGTCCTCAGCTCAGAATTCCATGACACGGCAGGACGAAACAGGACGAAACTGCAGCGTCAGACAGGTGCAGGTGCAGCTGACGGCAATGACGATGTTAACGAGTCCACAAAACAGCTCCAAAGAACTTGGCAACCCCCTTCTTTCCTTCTTTCCCCCCGTGAAACCGCAGCCCCAAAAACCATTTGCCCCCATCGTTTGCCTCCGCAAATCGATGCAAATAAGCAAAAGGCGGCGCTATTGCCCAGTTTAGGAGTTGAGTCGCCAAAAGCCGATCAAGCTTTGATACACTTACAGATGATAATTTGAATACAAGTAGAAGGTAGCCAATAAAATTAAGGGAAACATAAAAATCATACCCTATAATTTGTGAATTTAATTGCTATTAGTAGAAAAGTCTACTACTTTTTATAGATTTATTTATTTGTTATAACATTTATTTGATAATTTCAATAAATATTCGTATCTTTACTTTTTACCATCATAGCTTGAAAAATTTGTTTGCCATGAAACTTTTTAATGAACAAATTTTGTTGCGACGAAAA